CCACCTCTCACACATGGAGCCTGCCCATGACAAGCTTCTAGCTCATAAACTGCACATAACTACTCTGCCCTGCTCTCTTTTAATATAGATTTTTTTTTTTAAAATGTATAGAAATGCCATGCTCTGCACCGCTCTGAGATCCCCTGTGCACTTCTTCCCCACCTGTCACAGGTGAACACAGGTGAAAAAACCGTGTGCCTATAACAAGGAGAAAGTTAGCTGACTATAGCACTGAAAGCTTTTATAATCCTGTGACACCACCCTGCTGGTTCATTCCCTGGGCTGGCAGGGGGAGAGCATGCTGTCTGCACCAGGGCTGGCTGCTGTACGCAGCAGAAACGTTAATGCTGTGTTATTTTTTGTATATGTAATATGGGGGGGGGAATACAGTTTTTATTTGAAAGAGATGGTTGCTTCTGAAGGTTACTGTGGCTAGTTTAGGAAGGTCATGTGTTATGTAGAATTAGGAGGCTAGAGCTCTGTTTCAAGGATGTTTATAGTGGCAGGTGCACCAGCAGAAGGTGTAGCAAGGACTGAACAACAAAGAGGCTCAATGATCAGGAGGTTTAGGTTCATGTGGATTTAGGAGCTATACTGCTAAGTGAGAGGCTAGTGTGAACCCACGTGCATGTGAACACGGCTCCTGGTGTGCTCGGGTTTGTCTTGAAAACTGCTGAAGGCCTTAATGGGCTAAAATCTGCTGCTAGAGAAAGGGAAGGGGAGGAAAATGCATTTGAACCTTAATAAATTAAATGAGGAAGGAAAGAATAATTCTTGCCTACTGTGAGAATATTTAAGCTCTTAAAGACGGAGAGAGTAGAGCAAAGGCCTAAGGCCAGTCTGTAGTTGATAAGATGACCACCTTGTTAGCAAGATGAAACAGCTTTGTGAAGGCCCAAGTCCAGGAAGGGGCAATGAAATAAAATTCCTCTTTTTTGAGCATTTTTGGCTTTTTTTTCATAAACCATTGAAAGGCAGATAGATCCCTCTATGGGATCTGATGCTTCTGATGCTGTTTTCATGCTCTTTTGTATACCAGTACATAGTCACAGGTGAACTCCTGCTGGTTTTCCATCTCTAAGAGGAAAGGTCTCTGGCCAGCCTGGTGAAGGATCAGCTTCAAAATACCTCGATGGCCAGAGTGGTGCTTTCCTTTCTGCCCACATCTATGAGTCCATACCACTAGCAGCCACGTGAAGCCATCGGACTGTCTCCAGGGGTATTTTAATGGGGAGACTAATGGGTTTATTTTAGTGGAAGAGACTTGTGCCACTGTGTTACCCCCAGCAGCTGTTCCGGTCTATTGCAACAAAGCTGTGACTGCTGTGGTGTGCTGCAGGCACCCTCTGAAATGATTAAGACTTGGCTAACAGAATTGTCATCCCATAGATTTGAAAAGGAGGAAAGCTTTTTGGTTGGCTTTACATTCGTACTGGCATCACTTGCATCATATGGGTAGATATTTATCATTAAGACACCCCGAGGAAGAAGATGACATCCACTTCCAGTTGCCTCTGGCTTGGGAGGCTTTTACATGTATATACGTGTTGGCTGAAGGCAGAGTGGGATACAACACGTACAGAAAGCTTGCAAGCCCTTGGAAAACAGCAGCAGATGCTTCCCATAAATAATGGGGATAAACAGTGTGCTTGGGCAGCAGCGCAGGCATGTAGTGAAATCTTCTGAGCAAAAAACTCAGTACAAGCAATACTTCATGATGAACATAACAGCATGGATTATTTTTTTTTTTTCTTGTACTAGGTGCTTGCACGCTGCGCTGTTTTTGTGGTAGAGTCTTCTCGAGCACAGACTAGTGCTCCCATTTCAAAGGGCTCTGATGGATGCTTCATCTTAGACATATTTTAAAGGAAAAAAATCCAGTTAACATCTATATATTCACAGATGAACCAAGTACTTCAGTGCAAAACTGTCAGTGTTATTTTGTGGGGAGAAGAGATCTTTTTCCTACCAACAGAGACAGAATATATCTCAGCCTCCAAACAAAGCTAGAGAAAGCTGACTGAATATCAAACAGATTTTTCTAAAAGGAGACATACTATTCATTCCCAAGCTGTGTCTTCCATAAATAGAAAATCTCTGTGAGTATCAAAGGTGCTTCCAACCCAAGTACCACGCCTTTGACATAAATAAAGGACAGGCACCTAGGTATAACTCTTCCAAAACAGTTTTACAGCTAGCTAATCAATACATTGCAACAGACATATTGCCTTTTATTTTCTGTTTATACACCGCCCCGGATCCTTGTATATAGTCTTGATGCCAGCACAAGGATACACGAGCTTAGAGATCAATACAAAACACTTCTTCAGGTATATTGATCGCCAGCTGCTGAGGATGACGATAAATTCCTGCAGATTATCTTTCTGTCAGGAAGCCTGTTAAACCCTCAACCCATAAGTGAGCTGTGGCAGGCTGGTTGTGCCCGTGGTGGCACCACCCAGGGACACGGATGCGTGCCATTCGCATTCAGGAAGCATGAAACCAAAAGCAGGATGTTCACATGCCCCCAAGAGCTCACCCCTTCTGACTGCCAAAAAGTTCAGCAACAGCTTTGAGGCGGCAAGTTTGTGGTGTGAGCCTTCGGGCTCTGAAGGGTGACGCTGCTGGGCAGCTCCTGGGACGCTTGGCTGGCCACTGGGCACATGGTGCTGGTGCCTCCGGCTGCTCTCAGCTCCACCAGGAGCACATGGGAGATGTGGGAGAGGAAGAAATGCCTTGTTTCTCTTTTCTATTCCTCTGGGAAAAGGTGGCAGGAGCTTGGGGATGTTGCTTGGGTTTTGTTTAGAGAGGCAGGGAGGCTAATGTGCCCTATTTTACTTTTGTCTTCTGTCTTGGGAGGAGAGATTGAGAATGACAGCTAAAAGGGACAGAATGCCAAAAGAGGAAAAACATCCTGAAAAGATGACTTCTTACATTTATTTTTTTTTGACTAATCTCATCAATATTTGCTTCAGTATTGAAATATCGGAGAAAAAAAATAAAACAAATTTAATTACCCCCTCATTGCTATGGAAAATGGGAGCTGTGTACCACAGATTTCTGTAATGCCCTGATCTAACCTTATTTCTGCAAACACTAGACCTCTATTTGGAACAATATTTCCCACTCAAGATGCAGGGGCTCTAAGAGCACGGGTTTGCCGGATGTGCTCTGCATATTGCAGAAGTAGGCGAGCAGCGAGGCCACCTGCTCAAGGACACTTGTCTCCAGTTTATCTCCTGAATTAAGCTGCAGAAGCTTGAATTGTTTCCATCAGCAAGTGTCTCTTGCATTTTGGAGAAGATCTGTGATGAGTAAAGGAGGTGCCAGGGCACAAATGAAAGAAGTGGAATATTTCGAGCTTGGTAACCTTTAACAAAACATATTCATTATGGTTCATTTTGTCAAGGGAGCAAGATGGACACTGAAGTGTTGCATTGCTCTGCACAAACAAGACATCCTTGAGTCTCAGTGTCACTTGTAGCTGAGCCAGATACCAGTTGCTTCCCCTTGCTGTTGAGTGAGATGTCCACAGAGGAAAGCAGTGATCAGAGCAAAGTGCGAGCACAGCATCAAGTCCTTCATGTCTGCGCATTTTCAGAGAAGGAAAAGAAAACGAGTGCGCTTGCTAAGGCACATCTATAAAACAAAGCTTGTTCTTGCTCCCTTGCTGTCCAGGAAGAATTCCCATATGATCTTTAAAGACTCAGAGCATGCCATAGCATCTTTTTATAAAACAAACTACAGTCAACGCTGCCTCCTTCTTCTGCTGTTCCAGTGCATGTGTTGGAAACTGAGTGAAAACAGTGCAGTGATGCTTGTGCATATACAGCTCATGATTTGATTGTTTTGTTAATATTTTCTTAGCTATTTCATTAAACTGAATGAGGTTATTTATTTATTCTTGTGTAAATAATTGCTTCTGGGGAAGAAAGAAAACTTTGTTTCATCATTTGAATTACCCGCACTACCCAGGGTTCATGAGCTGGCTGGTTCTGTGCACCCTCCAATTAACAAGCCTCCAATTAACAGGTGCTCTTTGGAAAAGAGGCCATCTCTCTTTGATGTACTTTTTGGTCTTTGCTTGTCAAAAATATGCATGTCCAGTGATCATAGCTCTACAGCAATAAAGATAGTAAATCAGGTTAGCCTGGAGGTGAAGCCTGGAAAAGCAGGTGACTTGCCTGGCAAGGCGTTGCAAAGGGAAGAGCTGAAACTTTGTGCCCTAGTTCCTGGTTCCCTGTAAAATATTGCTTGTCACTGAGAAGTTCCCAATGGACATGTGTATGTCTACATGGCTTTTCACTGAGCTGCATCTGCTAAAGTTTTTGCCCTATGGAGAAAATTAGGCTCAGAAAAATAATTGTGTCTATGATGGGTTAGTGAACTCCAGGGCATTATCCTGTGGCAAAGGGAGATCTGAGCCAGTGTGTGCTTCTGGCTGGAGTCAGCCACATTCATCATCTAAGGAAGCAACAGCACACGCAGTGCCTTCCAAAGATGTAGCAGCAATGTCCTTATGCCTCACTTCATGCTCCTGCAATCCTGGCTGGGCTTGTGGCCAGCACTCAGCCAGAGCATCCCTGCCCTCGCACCTCCACCTTGCACGGGCAAGATCTGTGGACAGAGCTGCTCTCATGCCCCTGTCATATCCCTGGTGTCTCAGCACCATAAATGCTTGTTGATGTTTGATGAGTTATGACCAGAAGAAGAAGAAGAAAAATAGCCTTGCCTAGCTAAGAGGCTGAGAATTCCCACCAAAAGGGTGGCATGTGGCTAGAGGATGCAAAGGCATAGGTGAAAGCAAAATGATGTTTGCTGGTGGGAGAAAAAAAAAGGGGGGGGGCTGTTCTACATTTCCATAGGGTGAGTAGCTGCTGCCAGTAGTGTTTTCTGTGACTGTCTAACAATAAACCTGTCTGTTGAGTGTGTGGTTTTCTGATACTTGGTGAAATTGCCTTATTTTGTTTTTCTACATGTGTACACTGGAAACTGTGAAGTGTTATGAGGGGTCCAGAAATCTGCACGGATAAGAGGTTGCCGACGAGGCTGAATGCATCACTTCATCTGGCAGAGTTGAACTGTGGGGATTAAAAGGAAAAGCTGGAACCAGCCATTGGTAAGGAAGTGCTCTGCACCGGGCTTGAGACCTGTTCTGTGCAGCCTGCCTGGAGATAGTGTGTTTTTCTGCTTTTAAAATATGTATGATTTTCTTCTCTCATAAATGTGACAATCTTATATTGAGTGATGCTGGTGACTGGCTCTGAAGTAAATGGCTATACGTGTGGTGAGAGGGGGAGATGTGTAGGATACAGAGGGTATCTCCAGGCAGGGGGCTTAGCTGCCTCTGGGACATCACCTCCCCTTCTTTATATACTAAACGCAACATAAAAAGGGTGGTCGGTTTTTCCTCACTGTATGTAAGGGAGGATGAATCAGCGCAGACACTCAGGCTGGTTAGCTGGGGACAGCAAGCTCTGTGCCGTGTCCCCGGCGCTTGGCAATCGGCCCCATCGGCATACCTGGACTCCGCGGGCAAGCATCCAATTAATCACAGTCTAATCACAGAGGGACAAGGGTCTCGCTGCTCAAATAACAGTGAGGCGATGCTGTGCTGGTGGTGTAAATTATGCAGTCCAATCTTGGGAGAGCTGCGGGAAAGACAGTCTATCAAAATGCCATTACGCGGCGTGCACAATTCGCCGCTGGTGTCTGGGCAGGCAGGTAGCTGCGGACTCTGTTTAACGACGAATTTAATGATGGGCTCCTGAAGAATTACTGTTGATTACTCTGCTCATATTCATTTCAACCCTTCTCCCTGTGGACACGGAGACGGGCACACAGCGACCGCATGTCAAATCGCCCTCTCTAGCCCTGTGTGCAACAGCTCCGAGCACCAGCTGGGGATGGTCAGGTGTGGCTCTGAAGCAAAAAAGTCTGTGTATTGAGGGGCCTGATCCTCCCGCAGGAGGCAGGGGGGCCTGTGGGCAGCAAGGTGTGCTGGGGACACCCGAGGGGTGTGGAGGTGACGGTCCCTTTGGGGCCTGGGCTGGAAGTGGGAGGGCTGGTGCCCTGACAGGGACACTGCTGAGACACCCCACTGCTGCCCTAAGATGGCCGCCTCTGCTCTCCACCCTGAGCAGGGGAGAGGCCAAAAACAAACAAACAAACAAAAAAAACATGTATCAGCAAGTTCATGAATGTAGAATTTCCTATTGTTTTATGACCCAAATTCTCACCTTTGCAGGTGGTCCCTCAATTTGTCTTTGCAGAAGCAAAGCTCTTTGTGGCACTGTCTGGGCCTAGGGCCTCATCCAAGGCTGGTGGAATGAATGCGGTGGGGTTTCTGGCTCAGGGGACACCGGGCTGCTTCATGCAGTTTTGGATGCATGATCAAAAAGTACATATATGCATGTATGTGTGGTAATGGCATCCACATCATGTCCATGACAGCAGCGGGAATTTGAACCATCGCACTTTAAATGACAGTATGGGTAAAACTGAAGCTTTGTTTAATTCTGTGGAATGACAAACATTTTCCCCCTTCACTGGAGAATTTTCCTTGCATATCTGAATGAAGAAGCTCTCATTTGCTTTGTGCTCTGTACAAGATACAGCTTTTGGCAATAAATGAACAGTAATCTGGTTTCAACCTTTACCTCTTCCCTCACCCCCTGCAAAAAAAGATTTAAAAATGTGTATTGTTTTGTCAAGATGGTTAGATCCCAACAGAACTTGTGTCTGCAGCACAGCCTACTTGAAATAACGTTATCTTGCATCATAGAGGCCTCCCTGAAACTTTATCATCACTGTTCCCAGTGCAAAGTGTTGCTCTTTCATGACATCTTTGTATTCCCCAATCCAGCCACTTCAGCTACTAAAAATAAATTGTCTGTGTTATCAGGGAATAAAAGCAGCTGAAGTATCATGGGAGCTGTTTCTGCCCGCAAAAGCATAAAGTTAGAAACTACCTTTTTCAAGACAATCATATTTTTGTTATGATCCATTTTGGACCATGTATTCATTAATCTCTTTCTAGCAGTAGCCACAATTAAACTTTACATTCAGGGTAGTCTGAGGAAAAAGATCATGACTATGTTTCTTCAAAGTGTAATAGCAGACAATAAAACGTGAACGTGAGGAAATAATATTTAAATTTAATCCCCCTAGTCTGTACAATAACCTTCACCTTATCTCTGTACTATGCAGCATTAGCTATTCCTTTTTTATTTTGGCTACCTGGTTCTGTTAGCTGATAACTGTATCACAAAGCTTTAGGTACGTGAGATGAATTTTTGTGACTGACTGTGAGATGTCTTCATGCATGTCTTATTGAAGACATTCTTACTCTAAGTTTGACCTGTTCTGACTTTCACTGTGATGGTAACAGCAGCCTTTGGGAAGCAGAAAAGGAGACAAAACTTGGAGTCCGTTGCAGGGGTGGTCAGTAAGATGGGAAGTCAATTGTAAACCTACAAAACTATGCTATGCTCTAGCTTGTATTGCACAACATGGTGGTACAGAAACACTTACATGAACCTGTCTCTTCCACTGTTTAAATGTGTTTTAGGACTGACTGCAAATCCTGTAAGTATGTGTAGGTTGTGGAAGCAAGGTGGGATGGGAGGCTTTGGGATGGGGATCTAGCACTGGCACACAGAAGTCCAACTCCTGATGCAGGAAGGTAGAGCTAGCCTGAAGAGGGTCTGATGCAGAGTCAGTGAGATACTCTCGACTTAAAGAAAGATCTGAATGAGATCTGGGAGCCTACATTTCACTGAGTACAGGAGGCCAATCAGGGTGATTAGTAAGTAGAGATGAATGAATTTAGGCAAAGTTGTGTTCTGTTTTCTAATGCTGGTACATTGAGATTAGTATTAAGCCACTAAACAATATAGATTTAGAAATAATATCATCATCTCATCAGAGCAGTCAGTTGTGTGTTTTTCTTTTGTGTGTGTTTTTTTTTGTTTCGTTTTGTTTCAGTGAGGAACAGGCTTTTGCTGTAATGTTCATTTATGGATTTTTGCTCACTTTGCTTTTTTTTTTTTTTTTTTTTTTTTAATGATTTAAAAACGAATTTGTAATTGTTTCATTCCTTCTTGAAAAAGCTTTCTTTTTTTGAAGAAGCTGCAGTATGTCAGATTAAAGTGCAAATATCCGCTTGAAGACTCTAACACGTTCTTTGCCACTAAGAGCTTTTGATTTCTGCATTTAATTATGTCTCATTGGATTATAATAATCCTATTCCTCCTTGTTTCTTGAACTCAGTCTTCCATACTTGTCTTGCACTTAATTAAAGGTGCCTCCTTTGCTACTAGGCTGGTAGGGAAATTAAGGCTGACACACGAGGGAGCTTTGCATCTGGAGGAATCTTATTTTTAACCTCTCAAACTCAGCACCTGCAGAGCTCCTGGCAGGTGAATTTATATTCTAATATTGTGATATCTGCCAAGAGAGTGGTCCCATCTGCATTACCAGAAGGTTGGAAAAGGTTCCCTGGAGACCTATGCCAGGTGGCACCACCTTCCAAAGTAGTTTAAAATCCAGAGCTGTACATCATTTGACCTGTTTTTACTCTGACTTGTGGTTGGAGAACATACCTGCAGGCTCAGAAAATATGTGGGAGTTGACACCAACCAGCAAGACCCAGAGACAGGCAGGGTGCTTGGATGGCAGAGCATGGTCCTCCTGGTTATCCTTTCTGGGGAAGCTGATGGTGATAGGGTGTTCTTTGCTGGTCATGGTCCCCATTGTAGGGATGACTGATGGCTCTCCAAACCATGTGACCATATCTATCTCCATATGGGCTCATGTTGGCCAAGGAATCAGGGTTTCCTCTGGCAGATCTCCTAACATAAAACACAGTCATTGAACTAATATCAATCAAGGCAGTCTTGTTTCTTCATTTTCTCCCCATAAACCTCATCTATTTCATATTGCTCAGTATGAAAGTAACAGCCAGCAATGGTATACTGTCCATGGTATATTGTCTATGGGACTGATGAGATACATCTGTAGGTTCTGAGGAAACTAGTGGATGTAGTTGCTAAGCCAATGTACATCATGTGTGAAGTGACAATCCAATGAAGTTCCCACTGACTGGAAGAGAGGAAACATAACCTCAGTTTTTAAAAAGGGAAAAAGGAAGATCTGGGGAACTACAGGCCAGTTAGTCTCACCTCGGTGCCTGGCAAGATCACTGAGCAAATCCTCCTGGAAACTATGCAAAGGCACATGGAAAATAAGGAAGCAATTGATGGCAGCCAGCATGGCTTCACTAAGGGCAGATTGTGACTGAAAAATGTGGTGGCCTTCTACAGTGGGGTTATAGCACTGGTGAATAGGGAAAAAGCAACTGACATCAGCTACCTGGACTCGTGCAAAGCAATTGGCACTGCCCTGCATGACATCTGTGTCTCTAAATGGGAGACACGTGGATTTGATGGATGGACCACTCAGTGGGTGAGGAATTGGCCGTACGGTTGCACTCAGACAGTTGTGGTCAAAGGCTGAATGTCCAAGTGGAGAACCCTAATGAGTGGTGCTCCTCAGGTGCTCCAGTACCTAAAGGGGGCCTACAGGAAAGCTGGAGAGGGTCTCCTTCAGGAAGTGTAGGGATAGGACAAGGAGTAATGGTTTTAAGCTAAAAGAGGGTGGGACTAGGTTAGATAAGGAAGAAATTCCTCACACAGAGGGTGGTGAGGCACTGGAACAGGTTGCCCAGAGAAGCTGTGGATGCCCTGTCCCTGGAAGTGTTCAAGGCCATGTTCAGGGCTCTGAACAACCTGGTCTAGTAGGAGGTGTGGAAGGGGTTGAAATTAGATGGTCTTTGAGGTCTCTTTCAACCCAAACTATTCTACGATACAATAATTTGGACACAATCAAACTGCTCAGAAGCTGTCTTCTCAGAGCCCATGTCATGAGGCACAGGTGATTTTCATTTTTCCTTTTTAGTAGGCCATGACCTGCTCCAGAAGTGTCTTTCTTAAATTCCAGTGGTTGAAATTCCCAAATTTGCATGGTTGTGTTGTAGGTACCTAAAGGGTAACAAGCTTTTCAAAAGTTTAGGAAGCCTGAAACTGCTCTCTCATGCAAAAGGACCATCTTGTTTTTTTGGCTGCCTGTTTTTGTTTTCAGAGAGCAAAAACACATGCATATATGCTAGTTTCCATTCTTCCTTTACATAAAGAAATAATCATAACAAGTCTAAAAATGTGAAAGGTTATTCTGGAAATCTGCTGTTAAACATTTATGAGCTATTTAGAGGTGAAAAGAAAGAGAAACTTGAATACTGTGCTAATTTCTAACTAAATCTGGCTAAATTCTAACTAATGTCTTGGCAAAGCTTCCCCCAACTCTCCTTTTTCTTTTAATAGTAGCATTTTATGATTAGTGATGAGTTTATGCTTTTGACCCTCTTTTTGCTGTGGGAGTAGCTTCATTAGCAGAAATGGAAGAAGGAGCAGCACTTGACCCTTTTCTGAGAGCTGGGTGCTCAGGAGAGGAGGGCGGATCCTCTCTCCCTGCCCCTCTGCTGGCTGCTGGGCTTTGTGTGAAGCAGGACTGCTGCAGGAATGGGGAGAAGAAAAATCTTTGGACAAGTGGAAGAAATGCTGTGTCCAAACCAGCCTTATGTTACAGAGAGCTCTCCATGCTGGGGCTGAGGAAATCAAAGAATTGTTTGGGTTGGAAAAATGCAGTGTTTTATATTTCTGATGAATGCAGAATGCCTCAGTGGACAATAAAATCACCTTTTCAGAAACACTGGCCCAAATTTGTGTATTGTGTGACTCCATTGCAGTCCAGTCAAGTTACAGCAGGGAAGAATCTTGCCTGCTGCCTACATAGATTTAATGCTTTATGGACAATATTGCTTATTGTTTTTAAAATAATACTTTGCACAGAAATGCTCTGAAATTCATGGTGTTAAATGAAGATGAGGTTGGTAAAGATACCTCATTTGCATGTCTCATAAATGCACTGTTCACAGTGGTATTGTCCACCTGATATTCAATGTGTGTGAACGCATGAGAGAGAGCATGCAGATTTAAGAGAGGTTGTATGCATTTATATCACAAACCCATACTAAAATGTTTAGAATGCTATCTTGAGAAAAATGGTAGCTAATACAGCATAGTAAGTAGTTCAGGTCAAGTATTTTCAAGCAACTGTTGTCAGAGCTGTATGCTATAGCATTCTAGGATGCTAATTTCACAATTAAAGTGTGGTTTGTGCATTGTGCACCAATGAGAAATGTTGCAAGGAAACAAAGCAAAGAAATGTACTTTTTGGCATTGTATATATCTTTGCATTTTGTGTTTGCAGCTGCATTAGGACACAGTGCTCTCTGAGATGTGTGTTACTCAACTTACTATCTGATAATTTTGAGCTCATGCTGTTGAGAAACTTGGTTTTCCAAGTACATGCAGTTATTTTCAGTTCTAATCACCTTATTTTCAGTTTTATTCTATTCAGCTCTATTCAGCTGAATGGATTTTTCTACATGGCCTGTGACTCAAGACCCGTGAGTCATTCCAGCTTCTTGGAATCAGCCAGCAGATTTTAGAGCATTACACTCCTTATTCCTGAACGTGGTGAATTGGTATTTTGTGATTACCACAGCTTTTTCCTTTGATCCCTGTTTTCTTCTTCCATTCTGCAAATGCGGATCTGACCATGGTCCTCTTCCACCCCAGCTATCCAGCAGGCTCCTCCAAGGCATTTCTAACCAGGTCTGACCACTGCATGACAGGGGTCTGATCATTACACCAGCCATAATGTTTGTTCTGGCGGCTAAAGAGAGAGTTTAAGCTCTGCCACTCTAATAGGATTATGCTTTTATACCCAGAATGATTCCGGCTTCAGAGAAACATTTCTGAAATCAGGTTTGGATTCCCACAGGCTTTGCTTATTTTTGGAAGCTGGTGAGTGATGGTGCGATTCATTGAGCTAATTGCAGAGTGGCAAACGTAGTGCAGGTTTCACGCTAGAAAGGATGAAGCTTGCTGGAGAAAACAAGCTTTGTCTTTCCCAGTGAATCTCCAAAATCAACTGCTGTGAGCTGTTAGTTGGGTCAACACCCCCAGGGCTGTTCTGGCTGCTGTTCCCTCCTTGTGGGGCATTGTATGCTGGTGGTCCCCAGCAGCTCCCGCAGCAAGGGAGATCCTGGGTGACATTGGGCACACCTGGTTTTGCTTCTAGCAGGCTGTCTTGTGTCTGAAATTAGTTCCCCTTTTAAGAACCGCTATTGAATAATAGCGGGTATTTAAAATGGCAATTGCTTCTCTGATCTAGTCCCTGCAAGAGTCCCTCTTAAGGTAGGACATCTAATTTGACTGCCACTAAATTCCCTTTAAAGGCTGGTGCTTCCCACTGTCACAAATTGTCTCCTGCTCTCACCTGCTGAAATAATATCTTGCCTCTGCTTTTGTTGAATGAGACACACTCTTAACCCTCTAATGAAGTTCACAAA